ATGGACTGTAGTTCAAGCTTTCAAAGCATGCTGGCTTCCTCTTCAGGCAATATGATAGTAGGAAACATGCATTTTATACATGAAGAAACAAAGAGATACAGATGTTATCAACACACATAAGTGGCATTGGGTTCCAGGAAAATGCGGTACATTGTGGTATTTTACCACGGTACAACACTCTTCTGTTATTTCAAGACAGGAGTAAAGGGAAATCTCCATATTGTGACAAATGCCCCAAAAAAGTTAGGGCTTTAGATATACACTGCCTGGTCAAAAATAAAGTCACACTCTTTAATATTTTGTTGGATCGCCTTTACTGCTGCTCACATTTGCCGTGGCATGGTTTTGATAAGCTTATGCAACGTCACAACATTTATTTCCATCCAGAGTTGTATTCATTTTTCACCAAGATCTTGCAGTGATGTTGGGAGTGTCGGACCACTACGTAAAGTTTTCTCCAGCACATCCCAAAGATTCTTAATCGGGTTAAGGGGTCTGGGCTCTGTGGTGGCCAATCCATGTGTGACATTGATGTCTCATGCTCCCTGAACCACTCTTTTACAATTTAAGCACGATGAATCCTGGCATTGTCATCTTGGAATATGCCCGACATCGCCGGGATCACTTGATCGAAACAAGCGCCAGCTTCCCCGCTCTACATTTAGCCCTGCTTGCCCGAAGCAGGGCTAAATGTAGAAAACAAATTACCCGCCCGGCGGCTGTGCCACTCCTCTACTCCCTGCCGCCCCAAGGCCATGCCTCGGTGGCCTTGTGGGAAATCCGGCCCTGATTGCATTATTAAAAAATGAATGAAAGGTTGCCATTGCTATATGCTATTCAGGCTTTCTTCATCCCTCAGGCACTCTAATAAATGAGCTCAGGGCCCTCTTACTACCTAGATGCACTTCTAATGTTTGCTAAACACCCACGGGCCATTATCCACCTTGTCATGAATGTACTTTATGTTTTATTCATTCTGAGCTATTTACTGGAAAGAGGAGGTGGATTCAGATTGAACAGATGTCTTTAAATAAAATTGTTTCTATAGACATTCAAAAATCCCGGAAGCCATTGTTGATGTGTTACTATGTGAAAGGCACCTGAATGAGGCTCTTGTAGGGCTCAAAGCATTATAGTGTTGATTCTCCCCATTGATGAATCTTTTATTCATGAGAAATTTGCACAGTTTAAACAAAAGGCCAATTATGATTCCTTGCCTTCAATGGTCTCAAAACACGAGAATAACAATTTCAATATTTTGCTTTGTTTTTAATGTGGAAAACTGGAATCACTTCCTGTGAAAGCTATTGAAACTAATATTTAGGAGGGAATATAATGCGAGTTTACATGTTATATCTCACTATAATGACAGAAAATAGTTTTGTGTATTTCCAGCATAACCCTGATCAGACCATACAGTTAGCACTAGCTTGTGTATTTTGTCTGATATTTTGTGCATGACATCTTAAGGGTACGGGATAAGGCTAACATAACAGTTAACATGACAGTTTGCATTGCCATTCGTGACATGGCCGTTTTGCAGCATGCGTGTGTGTTTGTGTTTTATTTAAGCATAAAGGAAAGATTCATCAGCAGGTACAGCCATATATAGGCTTCCTTGCAGTGTAGGTGTGATCTGCTAGACTTACAGGGCAGAATGGAATGTTATGCTATCTTGCCTTAAAAACATATCCAACCATTGTGATTTCTTATCTGTGTGGACGGAAGCACTAATTTTGCAAGAAAGAAGGTCTGATTAACAAGCATATTTATTTAACTGTGCCACACATTCTTGCTATATTTTTTATATTTATTCCAGGGTGTATTTTATTAACTTAGGAGATGTGGTGAATATAAATACTGTATATAAAGAACAGCAACTGATGTTCAACATGTTATGAAGGAATTCAAATTGACATCTAAAAGCCTCATGATTAAAGTAGTATTGAAGCATAAATTTGGGCAAATTAAATCTTAATCCTTGCAGTGCGGGCTATAACAAAGTTATACTCACCCGTACCCCAATCCCGGCTGGCTCTTACACCGCTCCCTCCAGCCAGTCTCCTTCTCTGCTCCAACAATGGAATATCCCTCGGCATCCTCACCTCCAGTACACTGTATGGGACTATGATGACTCACAGGAGCTTAGACGGCTGCAGCGGAGGGGGAACGAGGCTGAAGGGAGCAAGTGGGGATCATGATTCAGGTGAGTATATCCTTGTTATTTTAGCTCCCTAAACAAAACAAGCACTTAACCCTTACATGTGTCTCCGCCGCATGCTCCCGTCTGAACATCTGAAAAACTTGGACGGCCGCAAAGAATCCTGGGGCGGGCGCATGTGCAGTTCAGATCTTCGGCTGGGAGATGAGGAGAGGCACAAGGTAAGTAAATGCAGGCAGCGTGCACCCGCACAGACTCCGTGAGGCAGTAAGTCCCACTTAAGACAGAGGAGTCAGCGCTGGATCGGAGACAGGCAACAGCGCTGGAGGGAAAACTACAGGAAAGAAGAAGATTATCAGAGAAGGAGGCATCATTTAAGGTAAGTCCTTACATTAGCATTGTAGGGGGGTGGGACGGGACATTTTAGCCATTAATGTCACTTTAACCTTGCTGGTTTGGATGCACCAGAAATCTAAATTAAAGTGGATCATTCTGGGGAGAATGTTTGTGACAAATGAACCAGTTTTAGGTCAACATAGGACACATGTGAGTGCTCTATAAGGCACATGTGTTGTATGTAAAAAGTTTGTTGGACAGATTGATCTCCATGTAAATGTGGAGAAGAATATTAACAAATAATTGTTAAATAACAAAAAGGAATTGATATACTGAGTAGTATCATTACATGTATTAACCAAATACATTTTATTGGAATGCAGTTTGTTATGGTCTAGTGGCCCTTCATGCAGATCTTGGTGCTATGTCATGTTTACAACAGCTTGTGACATTTTTGTACAATGTAAGCAAATTGAAATAATTCAGGACTGCTTTAAACACCAATGAAAATAAAAGTTATTAGTACATCTGCAGAAACAAGTAGAAAAATATTCAGGTAACTGGGGCAGGGATGTTTTGGAAGCATCTACCTGTTTTGCTCCAGAGAAATGTCCTACCACAAATAAAATGTTTGTGGTTGATTTCTGCTTTGCCTCATCTGTATTGTTTGTTATGATGACACACTTTTTTGTCATGTGTTTATTACAATGGGTATAATTATACAGCTCATAGTATGGTATTGTGTGTGGTAGGGTGTGTTGACATGATGCAGTAAGTGGGTTATAAAACAAGTCATATTATTACTAAAGATTATGCAGCCATATTGTGTTTTTTTTTTTTCTCGGCATGAATGAGGCAATGTTAGTCCACATTCTTTTTTTTGTAAATTCCTTATTTTAAAATTTTCAAGGTTTATACAAAGAAACAACATTATAAAACTCAATGTCAAAGTTACATACAAAAAGAAGAGTAACCACAGCAGTAGTCATAGGATAAGAAGTCAGCAGCGACATTGGAAACTGGGAGGTAGTACAACCCTAAGACACTCAAATGTCAAAAATTCCCATTGTCATGGTTTGTAAGTAGCACCCGTTCGAAGTCCCGGGATGTTCAAAAAATAAATTACAAGCTGAAGTGTAACAGAAAGGAAAAAGCAGGAAGATGAAGAAAGGGCTAGAGAGTAGACGAAGAAGAGGAAGGAAAAAGAGGACAAATATGGATCAAGAAAGAACAAAGACAGCAGAGAGAGAACAGGAAAACCCCCTCCTCTCCCCATACACAGCCCCGAAATCTGACAAGAAATCAGTCTCAGCAGGCACCCCCAAAAGGAAAATGGTCAATTCATATAATTGCTCCTGACCCCAGCAGTATACTCCAGCGTCCATCCCGGTTAGTCCCCATTCTTACCTGCCATTAGGGCTAGCTGTGAGTTCTGGTAGCAAAAATCTATGGATTTCTGCGGCCAGAATAACTGGTGTTTGTGAAAAGCTACTACCGCTGAGCCTATACAAAACAATGACAGGCTGATAGCGGCTGCAGCTGTTCCCAGCTGGTTGAATGTAATCTGACATTGCTGATTATCTACAGTTAGGAACAGATAATTATACCTGGATGCAGACTGACTGCATCCAGGGACGATCATATTTCCCTAACTGCAGATAACAGTGGTATCAGATTATATCTGAACAGCCATGAATATCTCCAGTCTGTGATTGCTTTGTATAGGCCAAGCCGCAGCAGCTGTTAGCGCATACCTGTTATTCTGGTCTCAGGAGTCTGCCCATTCTTTCAACCAGTGTTTGGAAATAGCCATAATTTTAGGTTTGAATGAAGCCTAAGAGTTACATACAGTAGAATGGCTTCTCTATAATGAATTCCCTGGGAGGCAGAGAAAAAATATTAATGAAAATTGGGGGAGGTAAAGATTTTAAACTAAAGCCCACACTTTCACCTCATCTGTAGATAAGGTGTTTTTCATTCATTTTATTTTTTTTAGCAGCAAGATCTCACTGCCATAGTTTTTGCCCATGCTTGATAATATAAATTAAAGAAAACTTGTACTGAGAGAAAAATGTAAGCTGCCATGTCAGGCTGGTCCAAAGGCTTCAATTCTTTTAGAGTTTCTCACCTGGAACAGGTACCTGGCCAGCAAACAAGTGTGAAGCCAGGACTTCTGATCTGCATAGGGCACCCATTTCAGGAACCAGCATTATCAGAAGGAGAGGTCAGCACTTGACAGACTACATATTTCTGTCAGTGCAGGTGCCCTTTATAAATCCAAAATAATGAGTAGGACCTCTTTGTTGGTATACAGAGCAATGAACTCAAGCACAGAGATCCCTATTCTTTTTCAGAAAAATAGGTAATATACCATCCACCATATACTGAAATAACAGTATGAATTGACCCTTTACAGAAGATGGTGAAGAAAAGTCACAGAATGAATCGATAACTGAGGCTTATTCTGGAAAGTTATATAATATTTGAATACATTTTTTTCTAGGCCTCCTACAAGCCGCTGCTGAGACAGATCATTGAAGAGATCTTCCATCCTGATCGTGCTGAGCCCCTGGACATTGAACACATTTCCTCTGGTCTCACCGACCTCCTGAAGACAGGATTCAGCATGTTCATGAAGGTGGGTATGACCAGTGGTGAGTAAAGACTGCAGAAGCCCCATACACAGTTAAAGTGTAATTCCAGGAAAACAGCTAAATGCACAGTACAAATACATGCATGTTTTCTGTTTTGCCCGCCAAATGGTTGACAATTTTGTACAGCCAGGTGACACTCTTTTCCTGTTTCACTAATGAACTTCCTATGTCACCTCTCCACCTACTCACTGGATAGTAAATCAGCTTTATCGCCCCTGTTCAATGAACTGCAAGGTGATGCAAAACGGAAAAAAGGTAATTTGCACATTACCTCGCATGTTCTGACTTTGTCTTTTTGTCTGGGAATTTTACTTTTGAGTAGGGATGCACCAATACCAATAGTAGTATTGGTATCGGTGCCAATACCGAGTATTTGGGAAAGTACACGTACTCGCCCAAATGCTCTCATACTTACCCCAGATACCGGAACTTCAGATCAGAGGGAAATTTTCTCTGACCTGCCACGCCGCGAGGGAACATGGAGCTAGCTTCCCGGCAAATCAGGAAGCCGGGCCGTGGGTAATGACTCACGGCCTGACTTCCTGATTAGCCAGGAAACTGTCTCCTTTCCAATTGGCTGGGATGCCACCCTCCCAGCCAATCAGCATGGAGCCGACCAAACAGCATAAAGCCGTCTTCCCGGGCAATCAAGAAGCCGGGCAGAGGGTAATGTCACGCTGCTCGACTTCCTCATTGCCTGGAATGCCAGCTCCCTGCTACCGGAAGTACCAGTATTGATATTCAGTATCGGCGAATACCGAAATATAAATATTGGTACTCATACTCGATACCGGAGTATTGTAAGTAATAAGCAGCCACTCTGCTGAGCCTGGATCCATGGTTAAAGAATAGCGTCTAATGTGTTTCTGTCATTTGACCTCTGATGCCACTTCCAGAGCCATAGTACTACTGGTAATGACAGGCCAAGGAAGAGGAAAAAAAGTACTACGTCATGGTAAACTTGAGAAAGGCTGGTCTTCATTGTGTCTTGTCACTAAAATTACAGTGCTTACCCCTATCACTAACTATGCTGAACTATTACTCACATTTCTTTCTGAATGGAATTAATGTTAGCTGACCATAAAGTTCATTTGCCAAAGCAGCTGTTCTTCAGACAGCTGCACTGTAATTCGTGGACGTTATCATTGTTTACATCCGATACTGCTATAGAAAAGCACAATATACCCCTACAAAAATAGGGCAGTATAGAACATCATCACACAAATTAATTTCATTTCCGTCATTTCATTTCATTCTGGCCTTATACTGTCTTTTGTTCATCTACTGTATAATCTGTGCGAGCAAGGCTTTCAGTAGTGGTCCTGAGAGCACATGTGCCTGCATGTGTTGTGACAAGAAAAGGCCAACAATAACCATTCTTAATTCAGATTTCCAAGGTTGGAGAAGGCGCAGTGCTGTGACAGCAGCAACAGCTGAGGAAATGCGGGGCATGGATTTATTTGACTTACACGGTTATTATGTTTAACAATGTAGGAGGAAATGATTTGTTCATTTGGTTGTGAAGCATCTTAATAAGAATGGTCTTGCATATGTACACGTGCTTCGTTCGTGTATCTCGGGCCTCATGAGCCTGCAAGTGATAAAGTAATAATCCCTCTGTTATTGTTAATCTTTTGATATCCTTCGAGTAGTAAATTGTGAATAGACAGGCTTGTCAAAAGAGGTGACTAAACATTGGCTTTGATTTTTTTACAAAGAAAGCTGCGTTATGTAAGTCTAGTCAGCACAAAAACAAGAAGCTTCTTCCTAATGCACAGGCAAAGTTTGTTTTGGATTAATGTTATTTTGTTTAAAGGCCAGATGCAGCTTCGCTTTTTCTGTTTTATTACATACCATTAACCATTACAGTAGAATTTCAGTATGTTTTTTGCCACTACTCACCCCATTTTCCCTGCTGTGTGCTACTTACAGACAGCTAAAAAGATCATTCATGTCTGTGGTTACTTTCCTTAAACATGGAGGAGGCTCTTGACACGCCATTGATTTTGCAAGAACTATGGAGCCATCAAGCTGAAGATCATTCTGTCACTGAAAAATAGACATGTGCGATTCATTTCATTATGAATTGAAATTCGGATAAATATCGGCATATTCGGACGCATCTGAATGAAAGAAATACCAAATCCGAACATATCCGAATTTTTGATAATTAAAATTCGGATGCATCTGAATTTTTTTCCAAATGTCGTTCAGAATGAACTGATGTTGTTAAACTTTGAAAATAAAAAATAAACCAGCTTGGAGTCCCCTCCCCAATTCATACCAGACCCCCTAAAATCCCTTTCCCTTTCCAGACCTTTGATCGAGCAGCAGCCTGGCAGAGCAACATGCCCTCAATATGGGGAGGGTGCTTTGCCAGGGGGGCCTGGCAAAGCACCTTGTCCCAATGTTTATAAGGGCAAGGGCCCTTATAAACATTGGGACAAGGCCACATAAGATACTGGGACTGTTGTGGAGGGCTAACACATTACTATAAAAGGTGCGTAGGCACACCTGCACATACCTAAATTGATTAAAAAAATCTGATTGGGGCAACTAATGTAAGGGGCACTCTGATGGGCACATCTAATAATTAGTTGTCCACATCAGAGTGTCCTCCTAAATTGATTTTCCCCATGAGAGCGCCCCCTTATTTTTGTAGTTAATGCAAGGGGCACTCTGATGGGACAACCAATGTAAGGGGGCACCCTGATGGGAACAACTAATTATTAGGGGACAACTAATTATTAGTTGTCCCCATTAGAGTGCCCCCTTACATTGCTTGCCCCCTTTAAAATGACCTTTATATTATTGTCCCCACATACCTTAGTTTACTAATTTATTAGTAAGCCAGTGGTGGGAGCCAGGAGGTGGAGCAGTCTGCCGGAGAGGATGGAAAAAGATGCTCTTCCCTCCTCCTGGTATGCTGGGGAACACATTTTATATCAATGGTTGTTAGGATCACCCGGCAGTCCTAGCAACCAGTGACTGCAGAGGAGGTAGACATCTGATGTCATTGGTTGCTAGGACGCTAGCGGTCCTAGCAACCGATGACAGAAGAGGAGGGTGGTCTGCGCTGGGCTGTGGCTGGCAGTGAATGCGCTAGCCTTGGAGGCCAGCTCATCCATTCTCAGCCATCCATAATGAAGCGCAGGTCGGCGATCAGTTCGTGTCCAGACTGTGGGCCGGACAAGAATGGCCATAAAATGCCCAGTTCTGGGTTAAAGTATCATGTGAAAGTCTTTCTAATGGTCATTTCTACTTCCTGTCAAATGAGAGAACACTGCATGTGCATCACAGCACTGGCCACTTCTACAGGTGATTTGACAGAACAGGAAGTGAGGAGAAATCTCCCCCACGAAAACAGGTGACAGGCAGCAATAAAAACACTTTTTCTAGTAGACTGGGAAAGGCTTTAGAACCTCTGTCAGGATTTTATTGCTGTCTGTGTCTCCATGAGAGATATTTTGTCTTCCTGTCCAGTTGACTGGTGTCAGACAGAATAGGAAAATGAGGATGGCATTTTAAATATGACAGAAAAGTCTCCCTAAAGGGACAAAGACAGCATTTAAAACCTGACATAAGTTCTTATTCTTCGCCACTCTATCCAAAACTAAAACAAAAAGGTTTGGCTAGGGTTCGGCTTTAATCCTTCCTCTGCACATCAGAAGTCAGAAAATAGGCAAGAAAAGTGGAAATGCATCCAACTCCTGAACATGAGGTGTGCTGCACCCAATCTACAAGTCTCTGGGAAAAGGGATGAGATATTCATTCATGCTTCTATGGCCTGGTGTAAGATTTAATTTAAAGGAGAACTATGAGATGAGTGATTTCCACTCACCTCATAGTTCTAAGCCGACCTGTGACAATGAGACTGTCACAGGTTGGCTCAGTAGATCGGGAGGTGAGGGAACACATACCGGGTTCCCTCACCTCTCGATCCTGTCACGGCTCTCTGCCGTGACAGGAAGAGGGGCTGGATTCCCCTCTCCCCGCTCCGATCTGCCAGCGCTGACTGGCGGAACAGACGGGGGAGGGGGCGGGTACAGCTGGCTCTGCCTCTAGATAGGCAGAGCCAGCTGTCACTCACGCAGCTGGGCGGATCCCGTCAGCTACGTCGGGATCCGCTCCAGGTGCCGCGTCTCAGTATACCGCGAGCTGTAGCTCGCGGTATACTGAGCTTAGGGTAACGGGAGGACGCTAGTTTGTGTCCTCCCGTTACCCCAAGGAGAACTATGGGGAAAAACACTGACCCCATAGTTCTCCTTTAATTATATTTATTTCATAAGGGAGGACAGTAGAGGCCTGCAGTGTTAAAAAAAAAAAAAGATTTTTGCTATAGTCCTGCTGCTTTTCCTATCTCAGAAAGCTGAGAAGTTTGCACAAAGCATTTCCTTCTGGTCATTGTGACGTGCTAATAATCTTCCATAACCATTTAGCCAGTGAACCTGTTGTTATATAGTAAAGAACTGAAAGGTCAGTTTGCATAGACAGTTCCCAGTTATGGATTTCTTAATGTGTTATATCACAAGACAGTCCTGGACCTTCTTGGGAAAACGAGCAAACAAAGTACCTTTCCTGCTTGCAGATGGTTTTCAGACTGTTAGTCTGTAATGGAATAAGGCAATTAGTGATGATGTAACCTAGATACAGGTTCAATCTGCCCCTCACATAGCAACACTACACCTGTTACTACCACCCAAGCACTGGCCTCTGTGGCTTGCCTACATATCCGAACTCATCATTAAAAACAACAGTCCCAGCTTCTCTTAACCTTTGTACATAAATATATATATATAACCAATTCTCTTAAAATGTTGAACTTTTTGAAAATGTTGCCATTGGGAAGTGATGTTTCCATTGTTCTAGAGCCTAGGGGAATTCAATTATGGTTCTAAAAGACCATGTAGTGGAAACAATTCGTAGATGTCTGCTAGATGTTTAGAGTAATATTGTAGATAAAGATCTGAAATCTTTCCGGGAA